AGCGGTGTGAAAACGCCCCCCCCCCCGAGCACAGCGAGTGCAGTGCTGTAAAGCGTCAGTGTAATCAGCGCCTGCAGCGCTGCACGCTCGCTCACAGCGCTGCAAGCTATTCCCCTCGGAGAGGTGGAGGACTTGCAGCGCTGCGAGAGAGCTCTCACAGCGCTGGCGGCACAACTACACTCGCGCTTCACAGCGCTGCCGCAGCAGCGCTGTGAATCCCCAAGTGTAGCCAAGGCCTCAAATTTGCTCCAAAAAAGAACAATTACTTTCCTAACAGTAATTGTGGTTCTTCAAGATGTTTTGTCCACATGGATTCCACTTTTGGTATGCATGCATTCCACACATGCAAGATTGGAGTCATTTGGCCAGCAGTGTCTGCTGGGGGCATGCCTCCACCGTAGAAATCCTTGCACCCCTCCCCACCTGAGGACATAAAGGGCAGAGAGCAGGCCCTTAGTTCCTTTGCCAGTACAGAATTCCAGAGGAATAAGGATTCTATAGTAGCAGGGATGGAGGGCAGGTTGTGGGATCCATGTGTACAAAGCACCTTGAGGAACCACAGTTACCATAAAGTAAATATCCTTTCTTTTTCGATTTTTGTCCACATAGATCCCAGTCTTGGTGTCTAACAAGTAATTGATTGTTTGCTCAGAGGCGGGTGCTAGGAGTCCTACTGGAACAAGGATTATAGGCCAGCCCTACCAAAGTGGAAATCCAAACTGGAAGCCTCTACTGAAAAATAGAGTCTTGTATAAACGTGGGCTGAGCTCCATGTAGCTGCCCTACACATTTTGGAAATAGGGACATTCCTCAAACAGGCAGCTGAGGCTGCCTGAGTTCTAGTGGAATGATCTCTAACATGGCTAGGTGGATCTACTCTGGTTAACTCATAATATAGCCTTATGCACTTGGAGACCCACATAGATAACCTTATGAGGATACTGTCTGACTCTTAAACCTATCGGCGAAGGCCACTAACAGTCTAGAAGAGGAGTGGGCAAACTTTTTGGCCCGAGGGCCACATCTGGGTATGGAAATTGTATGGTGGGCCATGAATGCTCACAAAATTGGGGGTTGGGGTGTGGGTGGGGGTGAGGGCTCCGGCTGGGGGTGTGGGTTCTGGGGTGGGGCCAGAAATGAGGAGTTCAGGGTACAGGAGGGGGCTCCGGGCTCAGGCAGGGGTGCGGATGGGGGGGTGAGGGCTCTGGCTGGGGGTACGGGCTCTGGGGTGCAGGAAGGTGCAGAGCCTCCTGGCTGCCCCTACGCGTAGGAACCAGAGGGGGGACGTGCCACTGCTTCCGGGAGCTGCATGGAGCAAGCTCCCGACCCCGCTCCCTGGCAGGAGCTTGAGGGCTAGATTAAAACGTCCGAAGGGCCGGATGCGGCCCCGGGCTGTAGTTTGCCCACCCCTGGTCTAGATGTATTCCCGAATGATTTTGTCCTGCTAAGTGTGACAAAGTCAGACCTGACAGTTCTGGAGGGTGGTTGAAGGCAGGTATATCAGTCTTAGAATGGTTAAAAAGCCCTTTTTGCACCAAACTGAAAGAGATTACCTCAGATTAATTATGGACATCTGAGTCTAATTAAAGGCAGCCTGTGGCCTTTAAAAACCTTTTCCAGTGAGCAACAAAAGGGAAGAAGGACAAGAGGCAAGCTGCAGAAGGGCTGTGTGCAGTGAGGAAAAAAGGCTTTTCCTAGGTAAAGAGCTGCTTTTTCCTATAAGGGGAAATCTTGTGGTTATTTCTGGTTGGGGAGAGGGCCTTGGTTCCCAGCATAGGTGGGCCCACAGTGGTTTAGAGAGGGTGGCTGCTGATTGGTAGCCCAAATAAGAAGAGGCAGTACTCCACCTAGAGTTAGGAAATGTATTTTGTGTGTGTGTGTGTGGAAAGAAGCCCTCGGGGCAATATTGTAAATAAACCAACATGAAGTATTCAACCTCTAGAGTGGAACTGATTTACCCCAGGCCTCCTCAAAGCCAGAGGGAGAAACACTGAGCACTGATGTGATGAAAGAGGTGCATGTGTCTCATAAGATAATGAGATAATGCTTGTAGTACATCATGTGTTTGAAGTTTAGCTTCCCTTGGGGTTAAGTGAGACTTGGGAGGGAAAAAGACTGGCAGATGAATGAATTGGTTTGTATGGAACTCTGAAACAACTCTGGGCCGGAATTTGGGATGAGGCCTGAGAGTAACCCTGTCCTTATGAAACACAATGTAAGGGATTCACCATGAGGGCCTGCATCTCCCCTACCGTTCAAGCTGAGGTAATGACTACTAAAAAGGCAGTCTTCATTGACACGTGGTATAGGGAACAGGTTGCTAAGGTCTCAAAAAGGGGTCCTATTAACCCTGTTAATACTATACTGAGGTCCCAAGAGGGAGGAGGCTACTGAACTGTGAGGAAAACATGAGTTAGGCCCTTAAGGAATCTTGCCATTGCAGGGTGAGAAAAAAGTGTGGCTCTGGATAAGAGGATAATGTGCAGATTTCGCTGTTAGACAGACCCTTATGGAACTAAAAGAACGTCCAGATGGTTCCAGGGTTAGTAAGTTGTCAAGGGTGTTGTCCAGGGAGACAGCTGGTGCTGAGGTGCCCAAATAGAAAATCTCTTTCAATTAGCTTTATAAGTTATTGTGGTTGAGGCTTTTCTGCTTTGGAGCAGAATGTTCTGAGCTTCTGTTGAACAGCGTCTTTTGGTGGACATCAACCAACCAGCATCCAGGCTGTCAGGTGTAATGACATCTGACAGGGGAGGGAGGAGGGAGGAGCAGGAGATGAGTCTCTACTATGTCCCAGTGGAGAAGAAGAAAAGGAATACACCTCCTTAAGTGGGGGGTGGATTCCCCACTTTTGGGTGTGTTAGGGTGCTCCTGCATCCTCTGTACATGGGTAGGGGAAGTAGATGGCACAGATGTATCAACAGCTGAATGCTGTACTGTGATCTGGGTGACCAAAGGACTAGTTAGCACTGCTGATGTTGTACAAGCCAACAAGAGGGATCCTGATACCTAGCCCACAGACAGGGCACTCAGTGCCAAATAGGCCAAAGTAGCCAAAAGGGACAGGACCAAAGGGCTGGGTGCCAATGTGCTGGATACAGAGCTTGCCGAGGAGCCCCTGACGGAGGAAGGATTTAGCCTGTACTGCAGGCACTCTTTTCATAGCTGGTACTAAGGTGGCAGAGACACCCGTTGTAGGCTGCTATTCTGCTGCAGAACTAGAGACAAGACTAATACATGTCGACTTGTGTCTCAGTTCTGAGGGTCCCAGAGAGGGAGAGTTATGTTCCTTCCTACCCCTTTGTGAAGAAGTCAGCACGTGGACTGAAGTTGACTCCTGAGGTCTCTTATCAGGGGGAGCCGTGTTAGTCCTTATCCACAAAAACAACAAGGAGACCGGTGGCACCTTCAAGACTAACAGATTTATTTGGGCACAAGCTTTCGTGGGTAAAACCCACTTCTTCAGATGCAACCACTGAAGAAGTGGTTTTTTTACCCACAAAAGCTTATGCCCAAATAAATCTGTTAGTCTTTAAGGTGCCACTGGTCTCCTTGTTATTTTTGAGGTCTCTTAGACATTTCTGCCCTGGAGCTTGAGATGAATCACAGTTCATTGGGGCACTAGCTGAGAGGGACTGAGCCTTAGTTACAACTTTCTCTGTATCTGACAAGGCTTTCATGGAGACCTCCAGATGAAATAGCTTTAGGCATGCGCGGTGCATCACTAGCCTTCTCAGTCCATTTGGAAAAAGAGCAGCAAGTGGAGCACTGGTCAAAGATATGCCTTTGCGTTTGCCTAACCGAAAAAAAAGCACTTAACAATCTCAGGAGGGGCATGTCTTAAACCCCAGGGATTTAGCTTCCACCATAACAGTGGAAGTTCTGGTAGTGGGGGGAGAGAAGCATAGACTCAGTCTCAGATCTTACTATCTATGAAAAGTTTGTAAAAAGTTTCTTTAAAAGCCAAGGGGCAAAGTAAAAGTTAACTAACTACCTAACACTATGCTAACTAACCACTAACCAGAACAGAGTCACAGAGAAGCCAGAGGACACTGCAGGGGTTCCAACTCACTCTCACTGATGGTAAGAAGGAACTGAAGAATGGTTGGGTTGGGACTATTCCATCCTTTATGGGGTGGGAGAGGCACAAGGATTTCTAGTGTGCAGGCTTGTCCCCAACAGACAGTGCTGGCCAAAAGAGTCCAGTTTTGCAGACATAAAGCCCATGCCCAACAAGAGTGGGATCTATGTGGACAAATAGTCAAAGAAGAACCAAGTCTTTTACATCACGGCACATTCTCTGCTGGCCCCTTCCAGGGCACACCATAGACGTGGTAATCCAGAACCACAAATCAATGCCCAAAGTCACTCCCATTGAAGTGAATGGAAAGACTCCCATTTGCTGCAATGGGACTTGGATTGTTATAATCGTTGTTGAATACAGGACCGGCACATGCCTTTTCAAGGGGTGGCACTCCGACCTTTTTTTTTTTTTGCTTGGGGTGGCAACCTGGAGCCGGCCTTGGTTGAATACAAAATTGAGTGTTGTTCTAGGGAGGTGTACAGTGTGATTCCGCTCTGACACCACCCATGTTACCTGCATGAAACTTTACCTTAAATCAGATTGATGTGGTTAATTACTGGGGCTTTTATAAGTGAAGAAGGATGCTTTTAGGGTTGTCACTGGATTCAGAAGCAGGAGATCTGGGTTTTATTTCTGGCTCTGCCACAGACTTCCTGTGTGACCTTGGGAAAATCACTTAAATCTCTGTGTGTGTCCGTTTCCCCTTCTGTAAGCTGTGCATAACACTTTTTTTTGTTGTGAGACTAAAGTTCATTAATGTTTGTGAGGCACTCAAATGCTACAAGGATGGGCCTATAAAATAAACATTGGTGAAAAAACTGAGATACAAAAATCTTTAAAGCCCTAAGAGAAATAAAGCAGGGACTTAAAGTCAAACAAGTCTGCAGAAAATAAAAAGAAGTAAAAAGTAACTTACATTAGGCAGCCTCTCAGAAAATCCAGGAAAGCAGCATCATGGGTTTTTAATACCATACTTAGATCTTTGGAGTCTGGGTGTCTTTTTTTCCCCCTGCTGTTTGTTATAGTTCTAGGAAAACCTCTGGAATCTTTAAAAACAAAATATGCTTTTAAGTCATGTAAATATTTTGCACAGTAACAGTTTAGCCGTAGTCACGATGTTGCCCTTCAGTAGTGTGAACTTTATAGAGTCCTACAAGGAGATTTAAATCCATAAGGAAAATGACTTGTACTTACATAACTTTCATCCAAAAGGACCCCAAAGTTCTTCACAAACTTATACCCAAGAAATACCTTTACCTACCATTGACCTGCATCTACTTCAGGGGAAACATGACAACTGTTTAACAACACAGAAATGCACTACACAGCTGTTTAGGACAGGAAGTGAAGAATGCCATGTCCCATTGAATCGTAGGTAGGTTGAACATAATTACCCAGTTGGTATTTAGCTAGAACACAGTGAGCCCTACTCAGGGCCAGGCCTGTAAGGTGGCACTGAGAATTCTCTCTTTTTCAGGTGCTTGGCTGGTTGGTTCTTGCTCATATGCTCAGGGTTGAGCACAATAGGTCGGGATGGGAAGGAATTTTCTTGCAGGTCAGATAGGCAGGGACCCTGGGGGGTTTCTGCTTCCTCTGCAGCATGCAGGTACAGGTCATTTGCCAAGATTATCTCGGTATATCTCTCTTAATAATTTCCTTCTCATTGCAGGGATCTCGGTCCCTCCTAGTCTCTGCCTGTGGCACATAAGTCTATTCTCCTGAGGGCTGTAATTCTTTGGTCTCATTTTGGTTGTTTGGTTTAATGTGCAGGTGCTGGTGACCTGTGATACACAGGAGGCCATACTAGATGATCTGGTGGTCTCTTCTGGCCTTAAACTCTGACTCCTTATTTAGGGTAAAACCTTTATTGAAGTCAGTGGGAGAAAGGTGTGAATAAGAAGTCCTGAACAGGGTCTTATGGGAGGAATGAAATGAGTTTTCCCATGTTACATCCATCCCACCAGGACATGGCTTCATAGGCACCGACTTCCCTGCTTTCCCCTGGATGCTCGACCTACCCCCAGCACCCAACCCCACTCCCACTCCACCCCTTCCATGAGGCCCTGCCCTGCCCCGCCCCCATCCCAACCTTTCCCCAAATCCCCACCCCAGTCCCGCCTTTTCCCTGCCTCCTCTCCTGAGTGCGCCACATTCCCGTTCCTCCTCCCCCCCCGCCCCACCTCCCGGAGCTTGTTGTTTTCTCATTGGTAAAACCATGAAAGGAGGCAACACCACTTAGGAAACAAATCTGTATTAAATGCACTTTACTAGAACTGATTATACTTTCATCCTGAAAAATATGCAGAGTAAACTGATAACACAGCGCAGCATTCAACTGGTATAATTTCAGATCGCTCTGCTAGAGGGATTACTCACACAGCGGGGCAAGCCATGTATAGGTGCCGACTCCATGGGGAAAAACTAGTGGGTGCTCTGCATCCACTGGCAGCCAAGCTCCCCTCACCCCCACCCCTCCCCTAAGCACGCCGCGTCCCCACTCCTCTGCCTACCTCCCAGTGTTTCCCAGCCGCCCACCAAACAGCTGTGGAAGTGATACAATAAAGAAAGACAATCACAGGCGCTTACCAAAGAATGTTCGTCTTCTTGATGCAGTCTGAATAAAATCAGCTGGTGGAAGACCCAATATCTTCAAGACAGAAAATTAATATGAGGAGTTATTCACTATTTCTTCAACATCTCTAACAGCCTTGGATAAAGATGGATGTGCTGTTCCTCCTCCTACTTACATGTGGCAATTTACAGTAAAATGTCTCAGAGGGGTAGCCGTGTTAGTCTGTATCTATAAAAACAACGAGGAGTCCGATGGCACCTTAAAGACTAACAGATTTATTTGGGCATAAGCTTTTGTGGGTAAAAAACCCACTTCTTCAGATGCATGGAGTGAAATGTCTACAACTCTCTCTAACCCACCCTAATTTTTAATGTGCCTCTCACTGTAATACAGTATCTAAGGTCCATATACAGAACCAAGGGATCCATTATAATTGGTTGAAAATGGACTTCACACTCTCCATTTTAAGCTGCCTTCTCACAGGAGATAAATTTTGGTGGTTGTCGCCTTCCATAAACAATGCTGCCAGGCTAGCTTGCTCTGTTATTAATGGAGGTCTTACTTAAACAGATTTGTTTTCACAGATGGGCTCATTCTGATCTGATTAATAGCATCTACAACATCTACGGCCCTCTGTTGAGACAGCTCTTTCCCCAGCCCTGGAAGTTTCCCCCGGGGACTCTGAAGAACAGCACTCCTGTTGATCGACGTAGATGCTGTGGGAGACTGCAGAGAGGGACAATACAGCAGCTTTGCACCTGCTAATTCAGGGCTTGCCCTGGGTTGGAAATCAGACACGGAGCTAGCACAGGATGCTGGGCAGCAAAGTGATATGCTCTCATTAGTCAGACTTGCCTAGGAGACTGATTGCAACACATTGTACCTGACATAACTTTTGCATCGTTTTCACAGTTGGCCCCAGGTACATTACATGGCAGTGCAAACAAAAACAACAAATGTATTAGGAAAAGGAGAAAAATTAAAATATTGCTTTGCTTCTCCCTTAGACTCAAACATACTTCTTTGATCAGAACCGCTCCCTACAATTCTGATCAGATTACAATGTGCTCCCCTTAAAGACAGAAACAGTGCAGTGACTGAACAAACCAACAATGTTCACCACAGGGAGCTGGTTTGCCACACAAAGAGGAGGCAGCAGCTTCACATTCTGCCTCTTCCTTCTCACTGGGCCCCCTGGCTGTGATAAGCTTCCCTCTCACAGCCAGCCCAGCTTCAAAAAATATTTGAGTCTCTTCATGTGTCATTCTGTTGCTGGGAGTGCAGTTTAGCAAACTGCAGCTAACCTGTCATTCGAAAACTCATGTCAATGAACCCCTGTGGAAGGAACTGTTCAAACAATTCATCAAATTACAAAATGCTTTGTTTCTAAAACATGCATGTAAGTGATGGAGCAAACAGCACCTTGATGTCATGACTAAAAAAATCCCAGAAGCTACCTCCATGATGCAGGCAAGTTGCTCTACTTCATTCTCTCCGGGAAAAAGGGGATAGCCTGTGTAAAGTTCAGCCATGATGCATCCCAGGCTCCACATATCAATAGGAGTAGCATACGGGTGACCAAGAATCACTTCGGGGGAGCGATAAAATCGGCTCTGAACATACGTATACACTGCATTAGGAAAGAAAATGGGACACTAAGGAACATAGTGTTGTCAGGGCAGCAATTCACATTAGAGAACCATAGACCTTAGAAAAGACAAATACCTATTATTTCCCTGATAAGCCAGAGAGGGATTGTTCCTTAGTACATGTTTCTAATACTTCATCCAATTCCATTTTAAATTGCATGTGATGGGTCTTTCCCCACATCTTTTGGGAACTATTTCACAGAGCAATAGATCTTGCTCTTAGGAAATGTTTCCTGATTATTATTCAGCCAAATATCCTTAGTTCATTCCCTTACATGCAATTATACCCCTTGAACCAGCCCAAACAATTCTTCCCCCTCTATAGGCCCCAGTCCTGCAATGGGATTTTCCAGCACAAAGCACTCCACACCTTCAGAGACCTATTTGGCGAAATTCTGGCCTCACTGAAGTCAATGGCAAAACTCGCGTTGATTTCAATAGGGTCGGAATTTCATCCAGTGTCTTAATTGGGACTCTACACGTGCAGGGACCTGGGTCAGCTGGTCACATCCCAGGATTGGGACCATAGTGAGTAAACTAACCCCTTTTAATTGGTATTCAACCCAATCAAATATAATGATGGTACATTACCTCTGTCACTTTTCCCTCCTACATCAATTCCACTAGCCTGTTGGACCCTTTTATTTATTCGTTTGCTCTTTTAACTCCCTCTTGTTCAACAGCTTTCTGGGAGCAAGCTGCTCCACAACACAAGCAGTATTCTCGGGGCAGTTTCTCCAGAAGTGCATAGGAAGGGATGACACATGGCATGTTGCTTTGTATGCTTGGCCAATATCACACTGCTGGGGTTTTGTTGTTGTTGTGCCATATCCTACTACGAATGAATATCTAACTTTGTCTTCTTCTACCTGCACCTAAGGTATCTTTTAGTTACTGCTTCAAAGGCATATAAAAAAACCTCTTATTTAAGCTAACAGGAGATGAATCATGCTCCACATTTCTTCCACTGAATTTCTCTGTTTCAAATTATTCTTCTCCAGATACATTCCAGGGTGAATCTCTTATTATCTTGTACCCAAACATTGGAAAGCCTAAAATGATTAACCTCCCTTTCAAAAACAGATTGTATAAATCTAATTGATTTAAACCCAACATAAGAACATAGAACATAAGAATGGCCCTACTGAGTCAGACCAAAGGTCCATCTAGCCCAGTATCCTGTCTTCTGACAGTGGCCAATGCCAGGTGCCCCAGAGAGAATGAACAGAACCGGTAATCATCAAGTGATCCATCCCCTGTTGCTCATTCCCAGCTTCTGGCAAACAGACTAGGGACACCATCCCTGCCCACCCTGGCTAATAGCCACTGATGGACCATGAATTTATCTAATTCTTTTTTGAACCCTGTTATGGTCTTAGCCTTCACAACATCCTCTGGCAAGGAGTTCCACAGGTTGACTGTGCGTTGTGTGAAATCTAGAGCACGGTGCTTGGCTGAATTCGTATATATTGTCTGAGTGGAGAAACATGTTTAATGGGAGAAAGAGAAGAACATAGAACATGCTTTGTTTTTTCCATGCTTAGTGAAAATGTTGTAGATGTCTCCCATTTAATGAGTGCTACAGCCTTCCTCACATTTATTTCACTCTTGAATGACGTGTTTATTCTTAGTGTTGTGAGTTCTTTGTCATCAATTCAACTATAAGACACATTTTATGTTTAATTTCCTGTTTATTGGTTTTGTTTGGTTTATTCGCTGTACATTCTGTTTAAACCTTATCAAGAAAAAATATTTTTAAAATCTCTTTAAAATGGCTGTATAATCTCCAGTGCCCCGGGATGTTTTCATTCTACCGCAACTCAGGGAAAGGATACTTTTGGTTAAAAAATGCATGAATTGTAACTTAACTAACTAATAAAAAAGGATCTCGGTCTGATCCTGTCAACCCCCACTGAAGAGAGTAAGTTTTATTTAAGTTCCTGGGGCTATTCACTTGGATCCATTTCAACTCCCTACACCTGCTAAAAGCAATTTCTATATCATCATCAATTTCTATATCATCAATCATCATCATTAAAGGTGGTAGATCAGTCTCAGCAGTGTGGGGGAAAGTGCTGGTAGGTGACACAAGGAGAACCTCATTGGCTTACTAGTTCAATAGATGCAAATGATGGGCATGTGTCATTGTATTAGCTCAATGCAAAAACATTTTTTCCAGTTTTTAAAAATTAAGAAATCTAATTAAGAAAATTACATCAACTTGACTTTTCTGCAAACCTCTTTGGTGTTCATAGCAGCTTGATCCAAAGTCAATAACTTTAACTGAATTTTGACCTTTGTGGTATAGCAATATGTTCTCCTAAAGAGGAAAAATAAAAAGGGGGAAAGACAATAACACCCCGGTAGGTTAGTGAACTCTTTGGTAAAAGTAATGTATAATATGATGAGGTTATGCTTAACTCTGTAATAGTTATATAAATCACTTTATCTTGCCTGTTCATACATTTTACTCATACTGGAGGGCAATCATGCCCAATTATTTGAAATAAAGCAAAACTCCAAATGAAAGTTATGAGAGAGACAGAATAAGAGGAGGAAATAGGGACCCCCTTGGGGCCAGAGCCCCTGTGCTTCTAGGGTCTACAGTTCTGGGGCAACCCCACCATTTCAAGGCTTCCAGCTTCTCTGCCATGAAGCTGGGAGTCCCAAAGTCCCAGAAACCCCCTCTCTAACTGGGGCTTGGCTCCTGGATCCACAACAGGAGCCTGGAAGTCCTGAGAACCCTGGCTCAAGCCAAGGCTCTCAGGGTTTTCAGGGTCCCTGCTGCAGAGCTGGGATCCTGGACCAGCCACCCTGAGTACAAACCTACCCAGACTCTGTGAGTATGTACTCGGCACTGCTACACTACTATTTTTAGCGAGCTGGCATGTGTATGGGAACTACTTGAACTGGGAATAACACCCCTTAGAGGAATCATAGGTTCTATCTATCACTGTTGAGTTTTAAAGATCCTTTCAGAGGTTCTCTATCCATGAAAGATAAGATGCACCTTACAAGAACTCTACCAACTGGCTTATAATGAGATGACAGTACTCACAGGTTTCAAGTCACAGTGGATAATTTTTTCCCGGTAGAGCATTTGTAAACATCTCAGCACACACTGAGTGAATCGTCGAATCAAAGACAAACTAAAACCTTGGAACTTGTTCTTTTTGATCAGCTGATACAAATTTATTCTGTGGGATGAGAGACAGAGAGACCAGGGCACTTTGGGTTTATGGTGTGAATAGTTTAAAGCACATTAGAAAGCCTCTTGTTTTTTTCCTATATGAGAGAAAGGAATCACCCAGAATAAAACAATATGTATGTTTTCCTTCTTAGGAATGTTATATTGCATATAATCCTCCAGATCTAATGGATAAGTAATGTCAATGGGACACATTAATTTATTGAACCAGGTGTCACAAATCCATTGCTTTTCACCATGAAGAATAGCATTCTCATTGGGGGAATAAGAGATAGAAAGGTTTGGTCCAGTTCCCATTCTTTTTAATTGACCTTTGACTTGGCACCTTCCATAAATTCCTTTGTATCTTAGTACCTGTGGTCAGACGCTCAAGGGAAATTATCCTTGATAAAACACCTGTATAGATTCTATTGCTCTTACACTGTCCTCATCACTGTAGTATGAGCACCTTTCAATAGTGCATTAAGTGACATGACTAACTTCTGTCATGTGTGGTTTGATGGGAATGGGAAGGGCAAAATAAGTAAACAAACATAAGACCGAAAAAGAGACTTCCCTTACTAGCTGTTTCCTTCAACCTTCCTCAGCAAGGCAAGGTCCCCACCAGGCAATGCCATGACCAGAACGAAGGTGGGAAGTGCAATGGTACTGCTGCAGTAGGGCTGATAATAAGAATTAGGATGATGCTGTTCACTAGAGCACTGAAAAGCTCAGCAATGTCAATGTACATCGGGTCATGCGGGTAAACCTTTCTCCCATTTCACTTTGCACAGGTTTGTACTTGCGTGAGTTTCACTTTGAGTTATGGGTTCATAAAACTCAAAGCAGCTCTTACCTCAAAATGCCATGGTTTGCTTTTGGGACAAAACACCAAATTCTCCATTTCCTTCTGAAATCACAAATTGCTCCAGTGTTGCTGGAAGCTCAACTCAAGGTTTACTCAAAACATTGCCCATGAACTTGGGCCAGCTTTCAGGTTTGCAATGAAATTTGTTTTACCTGGTTGCAGTTTTGCACTGTCTTCATTTCTAGATATCTACAATGATGGCCCCCATTATCATAGTATCTGAGCACCTCACAATCTCAAATTTATCCCCATAACACCACCAAGGGAAGTGCTATTATCTCCATTTTACAAATGGGAATTCAGGTACCGAGAGGCAAAGTGACTTGCCCAAGGTCACAGAGGAAATCTGTAGCAGAGCAGGAATTGAACCCAGATGTCCTAAGTCCCACTAGTGCACTAACCACTGGATTACCCCTCTTTTTTATAGAAGTGCCTTTCAGTGGAGGACCCCTAACTACTTTACCAATGATAAAGCAACACTCTTCTGAGGCAGGTAACCATGATTATAATTACTATGTCACAGTTTGGGAAACTGAGGCATAGGAGTAGGCGAAGGGCCTGGCAATGAACTAAAATGGCAACCTTGCTAGTAGGTGTCAAAGGTTTACTAACAGCATGTGAATTTTGTAGAACGTTGAGACACAATTTTCAGAATAACTGATAGATCTTGGGTTTAGATTCTTCCCTGTATGCCGGAAACACATTGATGTGGTGTGTGTGGAGGGGCTGTGTTGCCATTGGCTGAGTTAGGCAAATTTCTTCTTAGGGGCTGTGGGCCACAGTAGTAGCTCCATCACTCTTGGAGACGGTGGAGCATGCTTCCTGCTATGCATCTGACCAGCTGTGCTGGGGACACTGCTATTGCCCTGCCCTCACCCAGCTTGCTTTCAGACAGCTGGGACCTATACAGGCACTAGCAGGGAGATGATGCTATGCTCCCCAATGGAATTCTGACCAGTTACTGAGCCTAGGTGCAAGACTGTCTATGTAGGGGGAAGAAATTTTCACCTCCCTCTCTTGTACGTCCACACAAGGCATGGGCAGAGTCTGGCCATTAGAAAACAAAGTAGCTAGTACATGATGTTTTCATTCTGTGGGAAACAACATTCATCAACCCAGTTATTGTTTTACTAATAATTTAAATTACCATTGGACCGATAAGGCAAAAATATGCTTTTATGTTATGGACAGAGGTTCCAGGTCTCTTTTAAGGGGGGTGAATGTGCTGGATAGCCAGAAGCTGTTTTCCTCTCCGTTTCCCACAGTGACTTTCTGAGATCCCAGGCTTCTGCCTTTATTGGACCCAAGAGGCCTTTGATTGCATCCTGTTAATCAGCACACGTGTCAGAGTTCACATTGTCACAGGTATCCGTAGGAGCTGGGTGTGACACTGAGTTTAGGTCAGAGTCAGGGATTAAATCTTCTAATAATTTGCTGTCTCTTCAGGATGCAGAGCACCCTAGAATGAAGGGAAGAGAAGCCTGCCACGTCTGTACACAAGCGGGGGAGGGATTTTTTTAGAAAACAGAAAACAATGGCTTGAACTCCCATTTGACATTTGATTACAAGAAACGTGAAGAATAAAAATGTCCATGATTTCTCCAAACTTCCTCCTATAAAGTACATTCCCAAAACAATAACAATTGTTGTATTTTTAACGTCTGATGTACAGTATCTTTAAAAACAGCTGAAATAATGGAATAATCATTTTAAAACACACCTCACATTCCTGATATTGGTTATCATGTTTGTCAGACAATAGATGCAATTATAAAGGTCAAGTTCACTTGCTGGTTCCTGTATTTTTCTATCAACTCCACCTGGTTACTATTGAGGGAATCATCTGTTTTTTTTTCAGCTCAGTATCCTGTGGGAGTTTGTCATGGCTTGTTTTCCTTTGCTAACAATTGCAACGCTGTGCACTATTTATATAACATTAGATTGAATATTAGGACAAACCTAAACTATATGTTCTTTATCAGGAGTTTTCAAGGGGAACAAAAGAGGGCAGATCAGCATAACAAACTCTAAAGTTCACCAACCCCTACATTCACTTTTTAATTTTTTTTACATTTCACTCCATCAGCTAAAGAAATGTAACATGCACAGAACAAAAATTATGCACCAGATTGTCCCTGGTTCTAATAAGGGTGCACATGGTGTGTGTGCATGTGTGTGGTGGGGGAACTCTAATAAGGAGCCTTTTCCAATCTACCTGTGAGAACCAAGATCTAAAGTCAATCCCAGGCTCCGTGCTGAGAGATTGCTTCTTCTTTGCACCACTCAGGGATGCAAATTGCCCCCAAAAAGGCTGGGGAGGGGCCTCAGCACATCTTATTGGATGGTGCATCACGTATGCTCCCTCTATGCTTTGGGGAGCTAGGGGAAGGATTGTGCCTCTTGGGACAAGGAAATATCCCTCTCAGGGCTGTTGCTAAATATCACAATCTGGCCCTATAAGTAAACAGATCAGCTGTGTCCTTTCTACATTCTCAGGCCATTTTTCTCTACTTTGTTCCCCATCCTTTTTCGAGGGCTCTTGATATTGGGCAGGGAGGGGAAATGATGTGCAGATTAACACAGATGTCTGTAAACTAAACACTACATGGTGTGAACCAGAAAAAACCCAACCGACCAACTCAAAAATGGGGTTGCCAATTTTGGTTGGATGTATTCTTGGAGATTTCATCATATGATATAATCTTTAATTAAAGATTAATCTTTAATTCCTGGAGACTCCAGGACAATCCTGGAGGCTTGGCAACCCTACTCAAAAACACTAAAAAGAAAGAAAATAACAGACAAGTTATCTTCATAACATGTATGGGTCTGCGATCCTATATAATTTGGCCATGATATATGTAGAAGAATATATGCCTTACCCTAGCAGTTCAAAAGAAATGCAGAAGTGATTGCGAAAGTAAAAGCATTCCTTCATATGGACAACATTGTGAGTATTGTCTTTGTCCTTCTTCCGAAGAGCATCGAGAATCTTCACTTCTACCAAAGCCTGATTGTGAAATCTACATGCATAGGACAAAGTCACATGATATGGCGAGGACCTGATTAAATTAATCTCATTGTAAATGGAATATTACAACCAACATGATCTTGCTACAGATACAAAACAAATAGCTCTCACTAAAGAATCAGTAGTGACCGGTAATTACCACGCAATGGAATCTGAGCTACAAGAGTTATTTCCTAGTCTAAGTAGAGAGAAATACTGTGTGGTAATTATTGGCAAATGCTGACTCCATAATGCTAACCACTATCTATTCTGGTTATTTTGAACCTGGCTGGCAAAATAATTGAATGAAAAAATGTTTCAAACAATACATGTTTGAGCATCTAGGGTTTAATCCTGGCCCCAGTGAAGTCAATGGGAGTCTTTCCATTTACTTTAACAGAGCCAAGATTTCACTCCAAGAGTAGCAAGGTCTTCAGTTTTCTACAGTATCTGTACAAGAGGCTCACTGAAGCAAGAAGAAAGCATGCAATGAAAGGGCCTAATTAATCTCCTGCTTAAGATAATTGCACAACTCCCATTGACTCCAATGCTGCTGGATCAGGCCCAAAGAATTTTAGTAGTAAAATTTCTCTGGGCCTGATCCAACAGCACTGCTTAGTAGAACAAGCCTGGCCATTAGTAAGAGGGGAAGAAAGATTGTAGGACTATACTGTAAAATTTCCTATGCCAGAGCCAGCTATTGGTCCTCCTAATGCTTTATGCCGTCTCCAGCAATAGGTCATTGCTGGATGCTTCATAGGACGGTGATGTCCCCCACCCTATTTTCTAACTATGCAACATTATATCATGTTGGAAGAGGGGGGAATTTCTCAGCCTCTGAAGATGCTCTGCTTTGCCCTCATATAGGCATGGATATTCCCTGTACATTTTATACATTTCTGTATCAACAGCTAAACCTTTTAAAATCACGCTACACTGTTTGCCTGGATGATTTCCTGTGGCTCTTATTTCACCAAACTGACTCTATGCTGGGAAAATAAAGTGCTCCCTTTTTATCAGTTTTAAACTTGCTACCTTTTGATTGTGCTCTCTTGTTCTTATGCTACGAGGAGGAATGAATAAAAGCACCATCCTGGTTTTCTGCCTATCATTCCTTTTATTACATTTTCTTCCTCTTCTTCTTTTCTTCTTTTTCTTCTCCTTTCCAAAGTAAATAGTCTTAAGATTTTTAATCTCTTTTACAAATAAGCCTGCCATTCCTATGCTTTTTACCATCTTTTTTGCACTTCTGGATTTTTCCAGAGTAAAAGGGCTAATCTACACTACAAAGGCTTTGCCAATATAGCTATACCAGTATAGCTATCCTGGCAGAGCCCCCAAGTGGAACTCAGCTTATACCGGCAAAAGGAGTTATTTTGTTGGTATAGTTAAACTTCCTACCCAGATGACATAAACTACACTGGCCAAAGGACTCTTTTGCTGGTAGAGCTAAATCTACATTGGGGCGGGGGAGGGTTTGCCAGCATTGCCATGTCGGTCAGGGATGTGTTTCTTTAACACCGTTGACTGACATAGCTATGCCGACAAAACTTTGTAGTGTAATCCTGGTTTAAGGGTTTGTGTACCGGGGGGAAAAAAGTCTAGAATAGTTAATGCGGAACAGCTATCCTGCACTAGTTCCTTGTGTGGACACTCTTCTTCCACACTAAAAGCGCCGATGTGTGGTTTAGCTTAATCTACTTCGAAGTAGATTAAGATAAACTGCAAAAAGGCATTCTTAGTGCAGAATAAGAATGTTCACATGGGGAGGTGGTGCGGAATAGCTATTGTGCTTTAAATTCACAACCTAACCCTTTCACACTAACTTCCCCATATAAACAAGCCCTAAGCATTGGATAACTCTATAACAAAGCTATTTGGAAGCCCAATATTGGAATAAAATGCAGTTTTGCAAGTCAGGATAGAAGTGAATTGGCAGAGTTATGAAGTGGGGGGAATATAACTGGAATTGTGGGGGATGCAGTCGGTCAGAAATGAGGTGCATTGGCCTAGCTACATGCAGGGAGCTTGCACCACTCTTGCCCACATCATGCCTGATTCTGCCAAGACATAGCATCCTTCCAATTTTATTGCCAACAAACACATGCACAATTTTTAAAAGTATTTATAAAAATGGAATAAGCAAGCATCCTTTTTCTTATATCATATACAGATCATTACTTGTAAATTATCCCTAATAAAAGCAGGGGATGATTATTCTCATGAATAGAAAAGTAACAGCCTATCAAACACTTCTTTAACCTCTTGAAGTCGTGCCATGCTATACCTTTTCTTGTTCCTTATTATTTTCACTGCCACTAGTTCATTGGTTTTATGATCCAAACATTTTGCTACTTGTCCAAACGACCCTTTCCCAATGACCTCTAGCACTTCGTAGCGGTATGCGATATGGTCATGTAGGACCTGTAGTAAACAAGGAAACAAAAGGAAGGTTCTGGTGCCGGCACAAATTCAAGATTCATGTTCTAGAGTGGTGTTTATGTCTGTGAATTCACTGCTCATGAAAGGTGCTGGACTGGCAAAACCTGAAGTCTTATGCCCACAGGACAAGTTGAGAGAGGCCACAGAAGTGCACTAGCAGAAGTGGCACAAGCCCTCAACTAATGCACCCTGTGTCAAGGGAAGGTGGGTCTCCATTCAGAGCTTCTCTTTTGAGATTCAAACAGGTTGTCAATAGTGATGGGTTTGCAATATGGGCATTTAACTGCTAGCAAGTCATCTTAGACCTTCATTTATCTCATATAGACCAGCTAGCAGTGGACAAATAGTCACTGCAAATATTGTTGCTCAGAATACCAGTAGCATGATTTTCCTTCTTACCTTTATGTAAGTGCCATGTTCGTCATCATAACAATTATTATTCTGTGTTTCAGGTAACCCTTCAATCTTTTTAGCTTCCAGCCCAAGAAACCACAGCTCTGCATAGTTGAGAATTTCTTCTTGCTCATAAACTGTTAACTGGTTTCTAAAATATTTCAAGGCTTCTAAATTGAAAAAAAAAATCAACAGTGAAAATGTGGAATACCTTGATCACGCAATTCAATTGTGATTCTTACAGTATAAGTTTACTTTAAATGTAAAGTGATTGTTTTTATTCTTCCCTATCAACTGTGTTCTTTTCCTGACTCTGTCTTGCTGTGTGACCCTTTGCAAATCATTTATTCTCTTAGAACCAGACTTCTAAAGACATTTAGGTGCCTGGTAGAATTGTCAAAAGAAACTACGTGCCTAACTCTCAATGGGAGTTAGGAGCCTAGATGCTTTTGAAAATCCCAGTAGGTGCTTATCTGATTCTTTAGGCACCTAAATATCTCCTTTAAAAATTGGGCCCTTAATGCTTTGGTTTGCTTACCTGTAAAATGGCTTTATGTACTTCCCATGAGTGAGGTTCAGCTAAGTAAAGTTTGCAAAGTACTTGTTGCTCCTTGGAAATATGATGTTAAGTGCAAACTGCTAGATGTATTAATTAGAAAGAAGTTGTGCACAAGTTGAGGAAAGAAGTCAGCCCTATCCTCTGTATTTCTAAGCAAATTTCTTGATTACGCACTAGAGCCCCCATTCTCATGTCACATTGTGAGGTCACTGACGACATTTGCAGCTGAAGGATTAGTCTGCCTGGCCTGGAGCATGCTGAGGCGCTGTGCTCCACAGAAGGGCTCTATGGATTTAGCCCAGGTGCTCTGGGAAGTATCTGGGAGACCTGCTAATGCTTCTTCTTGGGTGGCCAAGGGAGGAAGAGAGCCGCAGCTGCTACTGCTGCCAGCCTGATCTTCCTCTTTGGCCTTAACTACTTAATCTGCACCCACAGTTAAGTAGGTAGAAGTCTGGTTAGTGTGATTGGTTCCCATTTTTGAACTGTGGGTACATTCAGTGTCTGAAATGCACCTGTGGGTGGAAAATGTGGGTGGCCAATGTGTGTCCACAGAGTGGCTGGTCTTTGGAAGTTTGTCTTCATTTGCACACTACTTATTTTATCTGTTGGGCTTTGATTTTTTGGTTTTAACTCATAAATACCAATAAAACACCCCCAATACAAATAAGTAAATAAATAATATCATGTAATATAAATGAAATTGATGTTTATCCAATAAACCCTGGAAAAACACCAGAAATGGTTACTTGTATCTAAGGGCTTGTCTATACACAGCAGTAATGCGGACTACGGGGGTGTGATTTTTGAAGTGCACAAATGTGTTGAGCACTAATTAGTCGGTGTAGATCCTGCTGGTACACACTAAAGGTTCCCTAGGGCACTTTAACGAAGTACCGTTAGAAACAGTGCTCTGTTAAAGTGCATTAGGGAGCATTACAAAGATATTACTTATTGCAATATATACTACTGTAATGAGTAATGTAAATAATATACATTACTCATTACAGAATATAGAAAAAGAAAGTCCCAAAAGCCATCTACATAAAACTCAAAAATTGGTAACAATAACTCCCTTCTCCTAAACAAAACGAATAAACCCTGAAAACCAGAAGCCCGGCGATCTGTTTTGTTGTAAAGAAGGTACTGTAATGCTGCTTTGTGTTATGCTTTTAGCTTCTTTATTAAGGGTGGAAATTTCAAATCCACTCAGCACTGGCCTAACTCTACTCCCATGGAGATCAATGGTGTAACTTACACTGACTTCAGAGTGAGCAGAGCTAGGCCAAAGCTGAGCATTTTTGAAGATCCCAGCCTGAATTTCTAAAAAAAGCATCTTTCAGAGTTGTCCCTAGGCATATTTACAATAGCACATTGACTAAAGTCTGATGCTTTCACCTCCTAAAAATAGCTAAATGCATAGTCCAACAGTCTTCCATCCCTCAGGCAAAGGCCTCAGAAAACAAATGGATTTAGCCCTTATAATGGTTAAACCTAGCATCAGTCCTCTAGTGCTACAGAGGATCTCTGTTGAACTGTCAAAGCAATGAGCTGTTTTAACTGTCTTAATTTTGCCTCCATATTGGTCTGAAGCCAGCTTTATTAGTTTAAGTAAAATTCTCAGCAATTGAAGAGCCTGGAATTGTTCCTGTCACCCGAGTGTCACGCTGTGTCCTTGTGTCAAGTCAATTTTTTTTTAAAAGTTTACTTCAGCAAGTCCAAACTTAGGGAAAGCAGAAGGTTAAAGACTATAGCTTACCTATCCATTTCATTCAAAATCACTGGTACAAGTGCCTTTGAATAAAAGGGAATACGGGTTGATATTTTTCTGTTGATAACTGCACATGGAATTTTACTGTAAGGAGGGTGAGATTCTCCTTGAAAGAACAGGGCAATTTCAGTTCCAATGTCTTGTTTGTTTATGTTGTGCCATATATGACAGGCTTCCTGAACCTGAGGAAATCAGACTGTCAGAGCTGAGATCTGCCATTCTGATCAGAAGGGAGAATTTACTGTTAGTCATCATATACTGGACAGTCGTTGCTTATGACTATCTGTTTGTATATTTTAATGGATCCATCGCCAGGCTATAATTATTGTCTAGTAGTATCTAGGCACTGTTTATATAACAGAGGTTCAGCAGTGAGTTCAATTCAACGTGGGGATGTATTTGCTCTACCATGCCCTTATTTTTATTTAGTCACTGATGATTGATTTCCAGAATAATATTGTCCTTCTGCTACTCTCTTGTTAGGGGAAATATTTTTGTAAAGAGCTGAAACTAGCAGCTACAGCCAAGTGAATTTTTTTGGGGGGGCGGGGGGTTAAATAGTTTATTTGCCAAAACATGTATTTGTCACTCAAATGGAATTATTCACAGATTGGGGTAGAAGTCAGAGAATAATTTTAGCCAGATAAAAATGTAAAAATGTGTTTTTTGAAAAAGTTGAAACTGTTTCGACATTTTCAAAATGAAACATTTTGACTTTTAATTTCAAATTGACATTTCACTTAGAAATCTGTTAAAAATAATCATAAAGGGTAACAAATACCGGAAAAAATTATGAGACCATGGGCACATACTCAGGGAGGCTAGACCGTCCTGCAGCTCATACTGCCAATTCTATTTTTAGCGTGCTGGGTCAATGAGAGCAGTGCAAGTAAGTATGTCTTCTGAATGGGTGGGAATCACATCCCCAGCTCCAAGTGTAGAGAGACCCTTAGTGACTTGCCTTCACACAACAAGGTCACACATCCTGGACAAGCCCTTGTCATGGTTTCTTTGCAGGGACTGGACTAGATGACGTGTTGAGGTCCCTTCCAGTCCTATGATTCTATGATTGATTCTATGATCCTCGTCACTTATATATTTGCACTAGTCTATTTGTTCCACTTTTGTTTAATATCAACAGTTAAATTATATTTAAAACTCCTCTAATGCATCCCTTCCTCCATCCCCTCCCCAAGAAAGACATTTCAGTGAACTCTAACAGCAATTCACCTTCTTAGTGAGTGCTGTTTGTTACATCATTCTCTCTAGCATGCATTGTTTCTGCTCATATTGTACCTGGAGCTGTCAGAGGCAACTTGAGACTGGTGTTGGTTCCTTCTATTTCCGGCCTATTGGGCTGGACTCTAGTAGCGCCTTCAGGCAGGTTTTCTGCAAGGTTAAATCGGGAAAAATGTGGCTGGCCTCGAGATCTGTTTTCCTGCCAAACAACAAAGATTTTCATTTTGCTTTCTTGTATTTTCACTCGTTTTCAGCTCATCCCTATCATTACAGAAAAACTGCTGCCTGTAGCCCACTCAGAAGTAAGCTCTGGAGGCTTTGGACTTTATTAGGGATTTTAAAGTTTAAAGTCAACTTGTGGAACTCTTTGCCAGAGAATGTTGTGAAGGCCAAGACTATAACAGGGTTCAAAAGAGA